TAATAAAAGCCTGACGGGGGGGGGGAGTTATTAATAATAAGCATAGCCCTGACATGGTTCTTATTAATAACGACATGATGCCTTAACCTGTCTCTTTCTGGAAATGAGGCAGCTCTGAGTCCTTTTGAATAGGGGTATAGATCTGTGTGGCAAGCTCCTGCACCCAACAGACGTGCCCAGCCTCCTCAAAGGTGATTAGATGTTGTGCAATTCAGATTTGGGGTGGGGGGACAGGAAAAGATTTCTACCTTCTTTTGGCGAGAGGAGCATTATTCCTCATTAAATCCTCTCCAGCCATTCTCTCCCACCCCCCCCGTCTTTTTTTTTTTTTCCGCAAAATGCCCAGCTCTCCTTTCCCCTTTTCCAAGCGTGGCTCCCAAAATATAGGCTCAGGGTATTCATATCTGATAATATTTAAACCCTGAGAATCTGAGTTTGCTGTGAAATTCTCTCTCCCTCTCCTTTCAGTTAGGGATGTAGGTGTGTAAAGTACACACATTCAGAGAGATGGATCTGTGCCTGTGCAAACACAGAGATTGTATTTGAAAGAAGCAGAGAGATGGACATTTGTAGCAATAGCGAAATAGAAAGAAAGGGGAGTTAGGTATGTGCAGCTGAGCCTCTGCCCTTGCTTCTGCACAGGGCTTTCTTAATGAGAAAAACAACGTATTTGCTAAAATATCCTCCAGTTCGAAATGATTGCATCCTTGAGACTACCTCTAGGTCAAAGCTTAGACAAATAATGTGTTTTCCTTTGCGTCTATCTTCCAGCCTCTCTGGGCCACATCTTCTCTACATTAGCCACAGCTTCTTTCTTTCTTTCTTTCTTTCTTTTTTTTCATTTTTGGTGGGGGTAGTGGGGTGGGGTGAGGGGGGAACTTTGTTGCTCGAATTGTCCTTAAAATTAACACTAACCTTCACATGTTTTGAGTTAACAAGGCTTCGAGACAACCTTGGAACTTAGGAGGGGGGAAACTTGCACTTTGAAGTATTTCGATTTCTGTGCAATTATCTGGACTTCACATGAGCAAAGTCCCATTCAGTCCAAATTGTTTTGAATTTCCCACTTCTTTTTTTAAACCCAGGACAGTTTAATGTCGTCTGCCACCCCACCCCACAGCTCTGAGCTAAGTTTCCCTTTCTGCTTAAACTTTTATCTGTAGGCTTTAAGAAACAGATGTAAAGTATTAGTAATGCTTATACAAGTTCCCACCTTTCAGATTTCGTCTCCAAGCGGTTATGAAAGGTTATATGACATTTTAAAGAGCAGTGTATTATCAACATGCAAATAACCTCGTGGGAGCTGTATCTTATTGCCTATCCTCAAGGCAAGTAATAAAAAACAAGTTTTACTTTATTGTGATTTAAGCCTTTTGCAGGGAATCACCTTGCTGGCTCTCTAGTAACTGCTGTCTTGTTTGCTTTCAAAGGTCTTCCTAAAAAGAAGAAACATTAACACAAAACTCCCCATTTCTTTCATATTTTACATCTACACCTCTTACATTTACATATATATATGTATGCATATATATTTATGTGTGTGTATATACATATACATATGTGTGTGTCTGTATATGCATACATACATATATAGAGAGAGACAGAGAGAGAGAGATAGACAGAGAGAGCAGAGAGAGAGAGAGAGAAAATAAAGGAAAACATTTAAGGAGGAGGAAAAAAAAGGTCCTAACCGTGAGGTCTCATCCATGGGAACATGAGACTGGGAGACGAATTTTGATTTAAATGCCCTTGTCCCTCGCTAGAGTTACTGTTGGAAGACGATTTACAGTCAGGATATTGTACAACAGTCGTCTCTTGCTGAGCACCATAAAGCGATTGCCTCGGCAGAGCTTCATATCCATAGAATTTAGAAGCGTCTCCGTGACACGCCAAGGCGCATGGGTTTTGCTGGTATCCCGAGTTGGAGATGCTGGAGGTTCCGTGGTGGAAAAACTCTTGGACGTGATGTGAAGGGTGCTGGAAGGTGGGAGCAGTAGTGCCCGGACCATACACGAGAGCATGGCTCCTGCTGACACTTTGTGGAAATCGGCAGTCGTAGTAAGTTGGTTCCAGCGATTCACCGCCTTTGTACTTGGAAAAGAGCGGATTTACAAAGTAGGAGCTCATGACCCTCGCATGCAAAAAAAAAAAAAAAAAAAAAAGAAAAAAAAAAAAACTTTAATTCTAGATTAGTGTCCCTGGACTGTCTCAAGTCCTGCTTTTTTAGAGTGGCTTTTTTTTTTTTTTTTTAAGCGATCTCAAAGGCGTTTCATGGTGCCTCTGTGTGCCTGCACGGTTGGTCCTCGGTGCTCTTGACTTCTCTTGTAATCTGTCGGTAGGTAGAGCTCTCTCTCTCAATTTCTCTGTAACTCTGCTCCTTCCCTTTAACACCACAGGCAAATTCCTCAAAATCCCGGTGGTGTGGCTCCTTTTTTTTTTTTTTTCCCTCCTTCCTCCTCTCTCTCTCACACGCGATATGTACACATCACTCCGCCACCCTGAGACAGGCTGCGAGGGAAATGACAGTGATTTGGGGGCGCTGGGGAAAGGGGGTGAAGGCAAGGTGGTGCGGGCATGGGAAGGGGGGGGCAGCACCCTTGGGGGGGGCAACACCCACACCTACCGAGGGGAGGAGGGGGAGAAAGGTGCGCATTAATACCCCCCACCCCCGCCGCCCTCCTCCCCCT